AGCAGAAATGAATATATTGATCAACTAACTAAAAGGTTGATTGAAAAATTTTATAGTAAAAATAAAATGTTTTTCAGCTTTTAACTCAGCAGAAAATGATACCAATAATTACTACCAAGAAGAAAACTTAAATACTTTAATACCAAATGGCCTTCTACTATACATATTTGTTGTCAAGTTTATTATTTCTTACGTATGTTAGTGTCACCACTCACCATATATATAATAGACTAAGTTAAAATTGATATTCCATTGTATATAGGTTAATTTTGAAGAAAAATATGCCCATCATGCTACTGAAAAACTTAGATACGCCGAATAGCTTATGTAATAGCACACAGATGGTATATAGAAGTTTTAACAATAACCTCATACATGCAAAAATTATGATACTGGTCAATGTGCTTCTAAGTATATTCTTATCCCTAAATTCAACTTTCGTCTTCCGAAACTAAGAAATATCCTTTTAAATTTGTGTGAAAATAATTTTCAGTATGTTTATGTTTTGCAAATATAATAAATAAAGCAAAAGGACAAACATCCTAAATATTGGACTATATTTACCGCAATATGTTTTCTTGCACGAACAACTGTATGTTGCACCTTCAAGGGGGATATCAAGATCGACAACAAGAATTCTGGTTAAGGCAGAGCAACCAAAGCATTAGGAGAAAACATACACAAAAAAATATTGTCCACAAAGAATTGTTCGTTAAGATACCATCATATTAAATACTTTTAAACTATAATACATAATTATCTAACTAACATGACAAAATTGATCATTTGTGTAAGTTTTGATGATGTTCTTTTATTTTAAATTCATGTATTATGCTAATGTAATAATATCTTTCGGCATTTAGATGATTGTTATATTATTAAACATAAAATTTCTCTCATTGATTAAATTTTATTGTTCCTTCATATAAATGATATTTAAATCTTCACGTGTCATTATTAATACTAATATTTATATAAATATACTTATATTGTTTTTTTACTTTCACATTATTTTATTTCGTAATGATGATAATATGAGTTGAGCTTAAAGAAGAAATGAGAATTCGTATCGTCGACCCCAATTTGTTTGGAACTGGGGCATAATAGTAGTAGTTGTTGTTGTATGTTTCAAAGCATGCAAGTGGGACCTATGAGTCCATTTGTCAAGTAATAAAATATCCTCAGACAAGTGATATTAGTTATGTGACATACAAAACAAGATTTCTCGTCATTTCGTAAATAAAAATTGCAAAATTCAACTAGCGATGAAAAATAGATTTTTCGAACTTTTTTTCTGGTATTTATAACATTGCTTCGTCATAAATGTCCTCCAAACGCAAGAATAATCTGGTAATGTACGTTGTTTGTTGCGTAAGATCGTAGGTTAACTAGCACACAATCACACACGAAGCAAATAGAGAAGAAAAAACAACACAAGGATTTAACGAGGTTCAGCTAAGCCTAATTCTCAAGACAGAAGTAGAAAGAGTTTTCCACTATGAATCAGGAGAAAAGCACAATACAATCTATAGAATCTCAAACTACAACCCCTATATATAGATCCCAAATAGTCTCAAACCTACAAGAGAAAGGTTTCCCAATTTGACAAGGACAATAGATTTTCCTTTCCCAAATCTATTAGGACAATGGGTTTTCCCAAACCTATAGGGATTATGAGTTTCCTAAAAAATACAAGGAAATAATTCAAGCCACCAATAACAAATTTTCCCCTTGGCTTGAATTCTCTTCATCAACAAGCACAACGTTTCTCTGCCTTGCCCTTAGCCCTCGCAAGGGCTCTACCCATTGTCACACACATCAACCAAGTCTAGGCAACACCTAAACTTGTTAAGAGACTCAATCTCCTCAGCCATAGCACTAATCTGTCGAGTTGGTTCTATACTCGGAATAGTTTCTGGATAGCTATAACACTCAAACTCATCAACGGTCTCTGCAACTGCCAAAATGAATCCCACAGGATTCGTATATCCAAGAAGATTCCCATCAACCACGTTTGCAAACATTTGCGGTCGATTGATCACTCTCTTCTCTCTGCTTGTTGCAATGTTATATGGTTGATGTTGCACAGGTGCATTAATATTATCATCTTGATCAATATTTTGCACCTCCTCCACTTCCTTTACTTTAGAATTACTGGGCTGGGCTAGTGGAGATTCAATTTAAGCTCTATGTGGTCACTAACACCACGATTTGTTTCTGCTATTGCCTTCTCCCTCTGACTGTCCAATGAGGCAGATTCATTGAATGTTACATCTCTACTGATAATTAGCTCTAGAGCCTTTTGATCTGTGCACCACAATCTATAATCTTTCACTCCAGTTGCATACCATAGAAATATGCATTTCGTTGCCCTCGGCTCAAATTTTCCATCCCTCAAACGAGCATAAGCAGGACAACCAAATATCCTTAAATTTGAATAATCAGCAGGCGAACCGGACTATACCGCAAAAGGAGTTTTGAACTCAATAGTTGTGGATGGAGATCTGTTGACCAAATAACAAGTTGTATTGATTGTTTCAGCCCAAAAATCCTTGCTAACACATGAGTGTGAAAGCATGCTCCGTGCCCTATCACAAAGCATTATGTTCATACGTTCTGCAACACCATTCTGTTGTGGTATTCCAACACAAGTGAGGCGTCTCACTATGCCCTCTCTGCTACATAAATTAGCGAACTCAGAATTGCAAAATTCCAACCAATTGTCAGTTCGAAAACACTTCACTTTTCTTTTCGTTTGCTTCTCAACCATCGTCTTCCATTTAACAAATGTCGGAAATGCCTCATCTTTTGTTTTCAGAAAATACACCCACACCATCCTTGAGTCATCATCAATCAAAGTCATAAAATACATGGCACCACTCTTGGAGAACTCTGTTTGGACCCCACAAGTCTAAATGTATATAATCTAACTTGTCTCTGGTCATGTGCTCGGCCTTCTTGCTGAACTTTACCGTTGTCTATTTATCAAACACACAATGCTCACAAAAATTCAAAACTTGATTTTTATACCCATTCAGCAAATTCTGCTTACTCAACAAAGACAATCCCTTATCACTTATATGACCAAGTCGCAAGTGCCACAACTGAGACTGATTCATATCACTTTTCCCAGAAGCTACAGTACTTTCCTCTTCAACTACACTGGCCTGAAGATGATACAATTTGGAATGCAGCTTACCCTTCATGAGTACCATAGAGCCTTTACACACTTTAAGTATTCTATTCTCGGAGTGAAACTTACACCCTTGATATTCCAATGTCGAAAGAGAAATCAAATTTCTCTTTATCCGAGGAACATGCCAACACTCAATGTTTCTGACAATTCCATCGAACATTCTCAAACTGATGTTACCAATCCGCTCTACTGGTAATGGATTATCATCTCCCATGTAGACAGTCTCACTCATTTGCTTGTAAGTTGCAAACCAATTCTTGTGTGGACACATGTGGAAAGTAGCACAAGAATCAAGAACCCAAGAATTTTGCCCATGACTAGAACTCACATCACAGACTTCCCCTACATAGTCACTATCATCAGAAGTATTGCCAGTGTCAACAACATTTGCCGAATTATCTATTTTCTGCTTCCCTCTTTTCTCTTTTAGCTTGGGACAATCTCTCTTGTAATGACCTTACTCCAACCACTCATAACAATTCTGCTTCCTTGCTCTAGACTTCGATCTGGCGGTGGACATTTTCCTGTTAAAGTCTTTTTGTTGTGTTCTTCCTCTACTCACAAGATTCTCGCCCTCAATTCTGCTGTCTGGAAAGCTCTTTTTCAACTCTTTAGATTTTAGCGCATTACTAACATTTTCCAGTGAAATGTTGTCTTTCCCATATAGCAGCGTATCAGCAAAAGTATCATAAGACGGTGGTAAAAAACATAATACAATCAAGGCTTGATCATCACTCTCAATTTTGATATCCACGTTCTTCAGATCCATTATAATTGAATCAAACTCATCAAGGTGAGTTTTAACAGGTGTACCTTCATTCATACGAAGATTGTATAACCTTTTTTTTTTCAGGTAGAGGCGGTTTGTCAGCGATTTCCTAGAATACAGATCTTCCAACTTCTTCTATGTTGTTGCTCCAGAAGCTTCTTCAGCGATTTCCCGAAGAACGTTATTTGTAATGCTCATGAAGATCACACTCAAATCCTTCTCCTTCAAGTCTGTCTTCTCTGTCTCTTTCATCTCTTCAGGAAAATCCTCATCAATTGCCTTCAGACTGAAACTAGAACCCCGTCAAATTTCTCTACTTCGTATTTCGTTGAAGACGATACATCTTAACCCTAGATTATACGTAGAAACTCGAACCTTGCTCTGATACCAATTGTTACGGAAGATCGTGGGTTAACTAGCGCACAATCACACACAAAGCAAATAGAGAAGAAAAACAACACAAGGATTTAACGAGGTTCGGCTAAGCCTAATCCTCGAGGCAGAAGCAAAGAGAGTTTTCCACTATGAATGAGAAGAAAAGCACAATACAATCTATAGAATCCCCAACTACAACCCCTATATATAGATCCCAAATAGTCTCAAACTTATAAGAGAAAGGTTTCCTAATTTGACAAGGACAATAGTTTTTCCTTTCCAAAATCTATTAGGACAATGGGTTTTCCCAAACCAATAGGGATTATGGGTTTTCTGAAAAATACAAGGAAATAATTCAAGCCACAAATAACAAATATTACTGAAAACAAAGAATAATCTCGTAAGGTCCCTCATACCTACTGCAAAGCTTTACTTTGAGTAAAAGGAAAACATGTACTAGTAGTTTGTTCTGTTGGTCCGTTGCATGAAGTCCTTATTTAGCTATACTCTTTTAGTATGCAGTCATTTTTCCATGGAACTATAAAGAAATGTACTGTAAAATTTCGTAATAGTTGTAGTACTCTAAAAGTTCCTAATAGTTTGCAGTTCTCTATATAAAATCAATTTCGCAAACTAAGAATCAAGGAAATGCAAACTAACCTGCTCGACAATAATATTCAAGGACTGCAATGAAACGAAAACCTCTTCAAGAACTGATGATGCAACATCTATTGCTGCTGTAGAGCAGTAAGAGGACCTGTCAATTGCGGCCCATGTTTCTTTTCCATCCCTGTAGTATTTCTTTTCACGTTTAGTGTTAAAAGTTATAATAAGAAACTCCAAACACATCATATATCATAGAAGAGAAACTCCAAAAAACAAAATATAAGAGGGAACTTCCCTGACATACTTTATTACACTCTTCAAAAGGTAAAATTCAACTTCAATCCCTACATTCATGACCTGAAAATATAGATATGCATTAGATCAATAATATCTTTCAGCTCCTGTACAAAAGATCTTAAAACATACCAAGCCAAATTCATCTTCTAAAATTGTTGAAAATCTACGAAGCACATCCTTCGGACAGTACTGCCATGCTTTACCAGGTTCAGTTAACATGTCAACCAAAACCATTTCTTGGTTTCTTACCCTGTATCAAAAGGTGCACATAAACATGCATGATTGCAAATGTGTAAACTCTTGAATAGTATCAGTCCAAGTTATAGAGAAACTTGATAAGTTAATTGAACAGTTGCCAAGCCAAGGTCCATATCTTTCTCGCTGACAAGACAAAACAATGAAATAATTAGACATGAGTTTGTCCACAACTTCAAACTATTCAACTAAAAATTATTTAGTTTGATGCTATATTCTGCCCATTTCCTAGTTTGATGCTATATTCTGCCCATTTCCTACAAGTTGTCAAAGTAGCTGTATATCACATAGTATAATGAGAATTTAAAAACCTTCATCAATAGAGCGCTCTCTCTCTCTCTCTCTCTCTCTCTCTCTCTCTCTCTTTCACACACACACAAAAAACCAAAAATACCTAAAAAGAGATCACATTTATATTATTTATGAATTGATAGGTTGTCAACCTTGATTTCGTATTGATTTATAAATACGTCAGTGAATTGAGTGGATTGGTCATTTGGAAATAAGTTTATAGTTGTTGGCTCGAAAGGTAAGGGATGGCTTAATCCGCAACCTGTTTTCCTAACATTAGATGTTTAGAGCAAATTATGCACAAGTTGCTTCTAGATTTTAGAACTTGCATGATAAATGTCTCTTAAGTTGTTTTCGTGTTCGTTTAGACTTATCAGTGAGCTTATTGTGTTTGCGTGATTAAGGTCGGGTAGTTGCAACTTATCTTATTACTTATTTGCCTTTAGTATATCGTAGGTTACTGTGGCTGTGGGGGAGGATGGTGAATTAAGGACATGTCCTCGGGTAGGTAAGGGAGTGGGGCAGGGGGCAGGAGGTGGGGCATGGGGCAAGGGTGGTAAGGGGCATAAGGGAGCTATTAGGTTGAGAATTGGATCTTGGAACATAGGGACTATGATAGGGAAGTCTATAGAATTAGCTAAGATTCTCCAGAAGAGAAAAATTAATATAGCTTGTGTCTAGGAGACTAGGTGGGTAGGGTCTAAGGCGCGGGAGGCGGACGGGTTTAAACTGTGGCACTCAACAGGTAAGAGGCGTAGGAACGGAGTGGGCATCTTGGTGGACAAGGATGTCAGGGATCTAGTGGTAGAGGTTGGGCGGGTGAATGATAGGCTGATGGCTATTAAATTAGTGGTCGGAGGGCGTACTTTGAATGTTATTAGCGCTTACGCGCCCCAAGTGGGCCTGGATGAGGAGGTTAAAAGGCAATTTTGGGAAGATTTAGATGAGGTTGTGCGTGGTATTCCGCCCACTGAAAGGATATTCATAGGAGGGGATTTTAATGGGCATATTGGGAGGTCTGCTGGGGGCTATGATGAGGTGCATGGCGGCTTTGGCTTTGGGGTCAGAAACGGAGGAGGTATGTCGCTGTTGGATTTCGCTAAGGCATTTGATTTGGTGATAGCAAACTCGAGTTTTCAGAAGAGGGAAGAGCACTTGGTTACCTTCAAGAGCACGGCGGCCAAGACCCAAATCGACTATCTCCTTCTCCGGGGGTGTGATAAAAGTCTGTGTACTGATTGTAAGGTTATTCCGAGTGAGAACCTCACGACCCAGCATAGGCTTTTGGTGATGGACTTAGACATCTTGCTAAAGAGGAAGAAGAGGGTTGGGTGTGGTCGACCGAAGATCAGGTAAGGAGCTCTGACTAAGGACAAGGCTCAGGAGTTGCAAGAGAAGTTGTTGGTTGTAGGGGCTTAGGGGAGTAGTGGGGACGCGAGTAGTATGTTAACGAGGACGGCGGACTGCATTAGGGAGGCTGCGAGAGAGGTGCTAGGGGTCTCTAAAGGTTACGCTGGAGGCCACAAAGGAGACTGGTGGTGGAATGAGAAGATCCAAAGGAAAGTAAAAGCCAAGAAAGCAGCATATTTGAAGTTAGTAGAGAGCACCGACGAGGAGGAGAAGGGTATAAGAAGGCTAAGAAGGAGGCGAAGTTGGCGGTCACGGAGGCTAAGACTGTAGTGTTTGCTCGTTTGTATGAAGAACTGAGGGACAAAGGCATGGGCATAAAGTTGTTTCGGCTGGCTAAGGCGAGGGAGAGGAAGGCGAGGGATCTGAACCAAGTAAGGTACATCAAAGACGAGGACGACAGAGTTTTAATGGATGAGGCATAGATCAAGCGAATGTGGCAGACATACTTCCATGAACTCCTGAATGAAGAGGGGGATATGAGCATTGTGATGGGCGATTTGGAGCACTCTGAGAGCCATTGTGATTTTAGGTAGGGTAGGCGCTTTAGTTTCGAGGAGGTCGCAGGGGCGGTGCATAAGTTGAGCAGGGGCAGAGCGACCAGGCCAGATGTGATCCCAGTTGAATTCTGCAAGTATGCGGGTATGGCTGGATTGGAGTGGCTAACTGGGTTATTTAACATTATTTTTAGGACGAAGAAGATGCCCGAGGATTGGAGGTGGAGTACGATGATCTCGTTGTACAAGAACAATGGAGATATCCAAAATTGCAATAACTATAGGGGTATCAAGTTGCTTAGTCACACTATGAAAGTGTGGGAAAGGGTGGTCGAAGCGAGGGTTAGAAAGACGGTGTCTATTTTCGAGAAGCAATTCGGTTTCATGTCGGGACGTTCGACTACGGAAGCCATCCATCTTGTTAGGGGGATGGTGGAATAGTACAGGGATAGGAAGAAAGATTTGCATATGATGTTTATTGACCTAGAGAAAGCGTACGACAAGGTCCATAGGGAGGTCCTTTAGAGATGCTTGGAGGTTAGAGGTGTTCGTGTAGCGTACATTAGAGTGATTAAGGAATGTATGATGGAGCTAAGACTCTGGTGGGGACAGTGGGAGGAGACTCAGAACATTTTCCAGTTGGGATGGGGTTACACTAAGGATCTGCGCTCAGCCCGTTCTTATTTACTTTGGCGATGGATACTTGATGCGTCATATTCAATGGGGGGTTCCATGGTGTATGTTCTTCGTTGACGACATAGTGCTGATTAATGAGACGCGAGGCGGTGTCAACGAAAAGTTAGACGTTTGGAGACAGACCTTATAGTCTAAGGGCTTCAAGTGGAGCAGGACGAAGACGGAGTAACTAGAGTGCAAGTTCACCGTAGTGTCAGGGGGAGCAGATATAGACGTGAGGCTTGATTCACAAGTCATCCCCAACAGAGGAAGTTCCAAGTATCTCGGGTTAGTTATCTAAGGGGACGGGGAGATTGACGAGGATGTCACACACCGTATAGGAGCGGGGTGGATGAAATAGGGGCTAGCATCTGGCGTCCTGTGTGACAAGAATGTGCCACCAAAACTTAAGGGTCAATTCTACAAGGCGGCGGTTAGACCGGCTATGTTGTATGGGGCAGAATGCTGGCCAGTCAAGAACTCTCATATCCAGAAGATGAACGTAGCCGAAATGAAGATGTTGTGATGGATGTGAGGGTACACTAGGTTGGACAAGATTAGGAATGAAGATATTCGGGAGAAAGTGGGTGTGGCCTCTATGGAAAATAAGATGCGTGAAGCGAGGCTTAGATGGTTCGGGCATCTGAGAAGGAGCCTAGATGCCCCAGTAAGGAGGTGTGAACGGCTGGCGCTGGCAGGTAGGAGAAGAGGTAGAGAGCGGCCTAAGAAGTACTGGGGAGAGATGATCAGGCAGAACATAGCGTGACTTTAGCTTACCGAGGACATGGCGCCCTTGACAGGAGGGTATGGAGGTCGAAGATTAGGGTAGAAGGGTAATAGGTCGTCGTGTGTTTTTCTGATTTGTTTCGGGTTTATTAGGGCTAGCTGACTAGTACATTATCTTCGATTCTTAGAATGTCAGTATTAGGGTTGTTTTGGTACTATCTTCCGCTTCGATTTTCTAGTACCCTATCATGTTTCTGCTTGTGGTTATTACTTTTGCTATTGCTATTGCTATTGCTATTGCTACTGCTTTCTTCCATTTATTCTTTCTCCGGTCCTTACATTGTTGATATCATTTTCCTGGCCTTGTTGTTGTTATTTACTTGTTCCTATTCTTCCTCTCGAGCCGAGGGTCTTTCGGAATTAGTCTCTCTGCCCTCCAGGGTAGGGGTAAGGTCTGCATACACATTACCCTCCCCAGACTCCACTTGTGGGATCCCACTGGGTTGGTGTTGTTGTTGTTCATGATAAATGTCTCCATAGCCAAGTTTCTTTTTCTTTCGCAATTTTGCATGGTGGGACAAGTCACAGAAAAGCAATTACAGTTTCATATCTGCATGTCTAAGTTATTTTGAATCTTGGATACGAGTTTTATACTCAAGTTTTAGATGCTTTATGATGTTCACAAGCATGCTACCTATGAATGTGTTCTGAGTCAAGTAGGAACTAGTATTTGAGTATTACTATATGAATTGTATTTTCAAGTGAAGATATATTTACTAATGTCGTGCATATGACACTTGCTTAAGAACAGAATAAGATAGGGACAAAGTGTAAGTGCTAATGAACAATCTAAGTGCTAATAAGCAAAATAATGTCCCAGCTAATAAAGGCATTGTCAGATTATAGTTAACCAACTGACAGGAGTTGTGTGGATTACAATTCAAATGCTCATAATACCGAGTCTATCATGCCTACTAGTTGACAAGGGTGGTGTCAAATTATTCCAACAAGCTTAAGCTAACAGACGGAGAATAATCTAAGAATAAAAACAAGCTAAGAGGCAGTACAAGGAAAGAACCAAAATCAATTTTAAATATGTATATATATGGTGTTGAAACAGCATAACGGTTTTCTTTTAAAGCATGTTGTATAAATTAGCTCTTCTCATGTGGTTTTTTATTATGTTATCACTTGTTCAGTCTTGTGACTCACTCTTTGTGTTTACATGTATTACAAATACAGGTATGGATCCCGCACCTCAGTAGTGAGCTGAGATATTGAGCAGTTACAGTCAGAGTATTCTGATGAGTACCACATTGTCTGTTGGAGCCTTAATTTATTCCAACATATTGTTTCTATTACAATTTTCTGCTGAGTTCTAAAGGATAATCCTAGTGTT